GGGGGGGCCTTGAGAGGGCATAAGGATGCCCACCCGCTGTCTGCCCCATTTGCCCTAGTGTGTGAATCATTGGGAGTATAACAGGAGCGTCTGCACCGGATGGAGGTTTTTGCAGGATGTGGGCTGATGAGTTGACACTGACAGTGGTTCTTTGTGAAAGTGCGTGATGCCCAAGGCCCCTCTGCTCCAGCCAATGTTAGGCTGACTCCAAGAGAAAAAGGCACCTCACTTGTTTATCTGAGCAACTGCAGGTTAGTCTGAATTACTTAGGAATGTACTTACTGCAGCCTGTTTTCTAAGAACAATGAGGGCTTATTGGTAACATCACTTGCATTTTGGTATAAAATCTTGAGTGATATATAGGGAGACACAAAGATATCTCTGTGCATTAGAGAGGGCAGGTGTGTGATATATGGCTTAGCAAGGCTCTACTGTATCTTTAAATCAAAAGCATTTCTGTTAAGATAGCTCAATATACAGGGCAGGATTTGGACAAGTGCTCAGCATTGGCCCAACTCTGCTCCCATTTGGAATCAGTGGGGGTTTTACCATTGCCTTCCATGGAAGCAGCGTTAGGCGAATGCTGAGCACTTTTGAAAAATCCCACCCTTAATTGCCAATGGCCAGATTTCAATATCCTTTTTCCTTCAAAATATGAGTACTCAGTAGTCCTATTAAAGTTGATGGAACTACTCGTGGAGTAAGCTGCCACTTCGTGGAAGTAAGGATATCAGAATATGGAAACTTAGTCTGAGTAAAGAGAGTTTGTGCCTAGCACAATGGGGCCCCTGATCTTGGTTAGGTCTCTAGACACTACCTCAATAGAATTGTTAAGTTAATGAAATAATAATACTTCAGGCCTTTACTTTGGTGAGCAGTGTCATGGACTTCAACAACACTATTCATGGACCATTCAGGACTGCTTGCATGAACAAGGGTTTGCAGGATTGGGCCTCAAGTTAGCAGAGACCTGAAAAGTTAACATCTGTCTTGTATACCAGAAGATTTATTGTATTTATTTAGATTTATAAATATGCTAAAAGGAAACTATTCATACACTCTAGTCCCCCTTGACATACTTTAAAAATATATTCTAAATACAGTGATTTTAAAAACAACCCAGCACAAATCCGCTTCCCATCGATCAATTCTCCACACTTACGGTTAAAAGGACCTAATTTTCCTCTCACTAGCTTCACTGACTTCACTGGGGTCACTCCTAATTCACACTTGCATAAAAACTGAATTAGGCCAGCAGAGTACAAACCGAGTGTGGCTAAATTTAAGATTATAGGCAAGATTCCCCACCCTTACTCATGCTGAGTAGTACCTTACCCTTGGAGTAGCCTCTTTGAAATCATGAGTCTTGAGCCTGACTGTGGTGGGGCGACAACTCACTGGTTCGGCGCCTCCTGCTGGCTGTCTCGGGAATTAGCTCTTTCCAGCCCGGAGCGCCCTCTTCAGTGTCTTGCCTGCCAATGGCCACGTGACCCTCACAGACCCCGGTGCCCTTTGCCTAGGGGTTCTGCCCAGTGCCCACCACAGTACTCCCTTGCTCTGGGTCTCCCCTCCCAGGGGAACCCCCAACCTTCTAAACCCACCTTGCCTCAGTGGCTACTGCCAGTCATCACCTAGCCCCCATTCCCTGGGGCCGAATGCAGTCTGTAAACCACTCATCATTGGCAAGGGGGTTAGGACCTGCTGCCTTTGCCTATCTCTGGGCTGCCCCTCTGCAGCCCTAGTACCTATTTGGCCCTTTTTGCAAGGCCTGCAGCCTGGAGTTTTTCCTGGCTGGAGCTCCTCAGCTCCCCTGCCCTTCCCCAGCACTGCTCCACCTCAGGTAACCTTCTCAGCTCCCAGGCAGCCAAGTCCTTTTCTCTCAAAATGCTAGAGAGAGAGTGTGTCTCTTAATCAGGGTCCAGCTGGCCCTTATAAGAGGGCAGTGGGCCAGAAGTGAAGCTGGCCACAGCTGTGGCTTCTTTCCCCATCAGCCTCTCTTTTCCCAGCTGCAGCCCTCTCCAGGGCTGCTTTAACCCCTTCAGGGCCGGAGCGGGGTGACCACCCTGCTACACTGACCCTTAGAGTTTTTTATTTTTTTTAGATATTTTTTAAATTAAACACTAAAAAAAATGAGTGCCAGACTCTGATACTCTTGCTCATGTGGAATAATATTTTACTCCACAAGTAACACTATTGATGTAATGGAACTATTTGTGGAGTAAGGTAGTACTCAAAATGAGAAAGGGGATCAGAATCTAGCCTTATCAAATAAAATCCCCACAGGTAGGGGATTTCCATTAACAGGTGGTGCTGTTAGCATTCAGGGCTGGTCTACAATACCACGGTAAATTGATCTAACTTACTGAATAACGTAACTGAAGTCGACATTGTTAGATCCACTTACCGCGGTGGCTACACTGTGCTGTGCGATGGGAGAGCATCTCCCATTGAGTTCCCTCATGCTTCTCGGGGAGGTGGAGTACACAAATTGATGGGAGAGTGCTCTCCCATCAATTTAGGGAGTCTTCACCAGACCCGTTAAATCGACACTCACTGCATCGATTGTAGCAGTGCTGATCTACCGGCAAGTGTAGACATACCCTCAGTTCTTTCATTTTTAAGCTACATGCTTTCTTTCAAATGATTCCCAGGAGTTTTTGTTGTGTGTGGTTTCAGTGCTGTTGTATTTGTGATGTTTGTATAGTATGTTACCTGGAAGTGTTCAGGGCATTCCTCATAACCAAGAATTTTCAAAATCATTTTTAAAATTAAGTACTGCTACAAACACGTAAGTCTGATTCTAATGATAAAGCAGTGCGCCATCTCTTGGTTACATCTACTATCACAACCATGAGCAAAGGTTTATTTAAATTTAAACCTTACAGAAGACTATCCTATTTTATGTCTTGTTGATGCACAAACGTGTACCAATTTAACTAAAAAGTCTTGTTATTAAACCAATTAGTTAAACCTGTGCAAGAATTAATGTAAAGAATTTAGCTTAAGTTAAGGAATCAGTTTAAGCTTAATTGATATAAGGTGCTCTTAAACAAATTTAAGAGTGTCATCCAAACTAAATCCATTTCTAAACTGGTTTGGTTAAACTGGTGCAACTTTTTAGTATAGACATTGTCTATTAGACAAGGCCCTAGTGTTTTACAAAAAGTGTTGAGATGGCAAGTAGTCAACCATCCCAGGTTATTTACCTATGTATCTGGTCTTATCTGAGGCCCTGATCTGGTAAACACAAAAGAACATGCACATAATAAATTTATGCACATGAGTAGTCCCACTGACTTCAACTCACAAGCACAAAAAACTAGGCATATGCATAAGTGTTCACAGAATCAGGGCCTAACTACATAACTGCTGTGAATAACATATTACTGTACAAGAGTAAAACAAATGGAAATTATTTGATTATATCTAAAACCCAAATTCAAATATATATTTGTCCAAACTCCACCAACAAGCTGGCATCCAGCCACATATTTTAAACAAAGTACTATTTAGCAAAACGCACTAGCCCTGTTGTAAAGGAGATCTTGATGGGGAAAAGGGGACATTCCCTTGATGGGGACATTCCACCTAGGATTTCTGTCTGTCTCTGGTTCTCTGTACTGCACAAAGAATAGTGAAACAATCAAATGCTATATGTTGCTAGTTTTTAGAGTGATCACTGGAAAATTAAAACCACCTACAGAACTTATATTGTAAGAAACCTCTTATTTTCACCTGTCAGCCAAACCTATTTCTGTAATTTTCAGCTCACCCAATCAGACAAAGGACGAAGAAGAGGAGAAACAT